CTTCAACATAAATAATCATCGCTCGGCACGAAACCTCCTAGCGCCCGCGCCACAGGCGCCGGCGCCAAAATACCCCAAATCACCGGCGCCTGTGGCGCGGGCGCCAGGAAGTTTCGGGCTGAGCGAATGTGATATTCGTATTCAGGAGGTCAAACTACCCCAGGAGACAACATTTGAGCCAAATCTGTCCACGGAGAAAAAAGTCGGTCAAAAACTGGCTCGATTCCGGATGATTGAAGCAGTAAAGAGTAAATAGCGCCGGAATCAGATACTGGACTTCCCTCATATTATTGCAGTTTTAGCATCTAAAAGCGTCGTCGACATGCGTTTCCCCGCCTCCATTTGTCTCCGTAACGTCTTCGGACACGAATTCGATCGGACATTCCTTGTCCAATGGTAGCGTGGCGAGCAACGTTTCATCAGAAGTAGAAAACCGGTCATACTCTGATGTGAGAAAATCTTCATTTCTTCATTTAAGGCGTTTTTGTGATAGAAGATGACCGCCCGGTAGTAAGGCGGCTAACGTTTCTTTCCGTGTAACTGAAAACCCCTTGATAGTAGTTTTGGTCCGGCAGCTAATAGTGTTCTTATTATTTTTCAGCTATTATTCTATAGTGCTTGTCATTTTCTATCAAATTCCAGCGAAATAGTTTTTCAGAAGGAAAATGCCGCTGCTGCTGCCACGATCATTCAAGCGGATAAACCTAAAGCTATCACTGAGCAGGAACCTGTTCGAGTTCGGTCACAACCGAAAGAAAAAATGACGGATGCCCAGGTATTCCTGTCCTTTTGTCAATCGCTCTCGCCTCTTTGGTTCAATTAGTAGTACTGTCTTGGATATAAAGAAAACCTGAAACATACACGGAAAATTGCCTTTTTTAAATGGCTCCAATTTATTTGTTGCTCTTCAATGAACACTCAAATCCCGCAGGCAATTTCTTGCAAGCCTTGACTTTAAAAATGCAGTTTTCCTTCTTAAATTTTCTGGAAGTGCGGTTTTTTTAACTGTTCCAGGTTTTTTTTTTCGTAAGTGTAGTTTTGTGAGCGGGATATATGTATTTTCTGTAATAAAAGCCATGATTTAGGTGTTAGAAGAACTTCGACAAATTGTCAATCAAGGAGATCCTCTTCAGAAATACGAGATAAACTCAGATATCGTCTAGGGTACTGTTTTATTGTTGGACCTCTGAGTTGTTCTATTCTGATTTACTCGCCGGGTCTAAGCTGCAATATGGAGTTTCGGGGCAGGACCCCCCACTTTATGATGTCAGCTCTGCTAGCAAAGATGATATCATTATTTTCGAGAACGAGTAATGGTAATTAGAGGGTAGATTTGAATCTTGTTCGTCGGGCCAGAGTCAAGGGATATAATTATCTGAGCTCTATGTTGACACAAGCGAGGTAGTTTGGACTGCATTGAACAGTCCTGCATAAGATTAAAAAAGCATATTGTTGCTGGAGTGGCTCCGCCCGCTTGATAGATGTATTGCCTGTTGTCTTGCTCACTTGCATGCTCTATAGCTGCTTTCTCTGGCCTGTAGCCCAATAACCACATTCTTTCTCTCTCGCTTGGCACGAGTAGGGCAGGGCCTTCAGGGTACAGCATCGTTGTGTGAAACACATAGGGGGTCGTACTTTTTCTCTGGGGAAGGGGGTCGTATTTGGTCGTTGGGAGAGGGGGGTCGTATGTGCCTTTGAGAGAAATTTGTCGCGTTGGTTTTCCGGTTGTTGACTTTTTGCGTGATTTTTCCTGTTTCATGTGCACTATATACCCCCCCCCCCGCCGCCCCAAAGCTCAACGGAGGATCTCGATCGAAACGGAGATTTTTTGGGTGAAAAACTGGAAAATGTGGGAAATTTGTAGGTAGGTATTGGGAGAGAAGGGGGAGTCGTACCGAGACCCTCATTTTGGTGGGGGGGGGTGGTCGTACTGACTCCCCCTCTAGGAAGGGGGTCCACCACTTCACTCATCACGATGCTGTTGTACTCTGAGGGCCTTGGTTGAAGCTTTTTGAACGGTTTTCTCCCCTTCTTACCTCACTGCAAGTCAGCTATCTAGTTCTGCTTCTGAAACCCCCTCCCTACCTGCAAATTTCTCGCTGGCTTTTCGCGAAGTATGCCTTTAAAAGCAAATACTCAGTTCGTCCATGTTCCTTTGCTGATGCATAATAGTGCATGTGTCCATTGTTCTGAAACAAGCTCATTCTGGAGGCGCAGTCAATCATGATGTGGTCGGCAACTTTAATGTCGCGCCAATGTGGGCCACCCTGATGGTCTTTTTTTGTGGTGCTTGTTGAATGAGGATCTGGTTTGCTTGTAATGGCCCAATTTTTTGCTTTCCGTAGTGCCTCGTTAACTTGCTTCCTTTTCTGTTTTGGTGGCTGTCCTGCATGACATAACATTAGTTCTCGTTCTTAACGATGCTTTTCAGACGTGTCGCTTTTCTTTTATTCCAATTTCTTAATTGCTTCCCGTTTATCTGTGCCTCTGAGGGCAGTTCAGCGACGGAGGGGGCATTTTGCACTTTTGCTATTCTCATCGACGTGTCGACCATCTAGAGAGCCATTTCATGAGCTTACAAGAGTTGACAGGTTTTACCATGGTGGCTCGACGAGCTTGCTCCAGCTTCACAAGAGTTCACAGGTTTTACCAAAGTGAGACTTGTAAACCGAAGTAGTGAAGCAGCGGAAGTGCAAAATGCCCCCCCCCCCCGTCGCTGAACTGCGCCCTGCTACTCAGTCATGACTGGTTAGATGCTTTGTGTCAGGCGATCAACGCCAATCAGTTGTTGTCGCCATTGCCCACCATAATTATTTCGGATCCTGCTGTACGATCAATTAGCTAAGTGATGTGGCTAATTGGGCAACATATCTGCCACTACTATCACTTCGCCGCTGTCGCGATTTATCGGATAAGAGAACTTTGCTCAATTGATGGAACGACGTAAGTGACGGAGTTGTAGTGTGACGGGAATAGCGGTAAAAAGCAACGACCTTCCTGAACGGCTCAGTTTGCAACTCCGTTTCGGATTTTCTCTTCATTCTCTAAGGGCAGTTCGAAGTATCTGACAGGTCTCTTCTCAACGAAAAGGAAAGCTTAGAAGCTCCGACGACGGTATTCCGGCCCCGATCCGCTTGTGGGAGGAAGGGTAGGGGTTTCTTACGGTTTTATCGAAATGCCGGGCATTTTGGAAAGTCCTGTAGAGTCTTTAAAGCTGCAAAGCAAAAAAAAATACTTGCTTCTTGTGGGACCATAGTACAAGGGAAAGAGCAAAATAATCGAGGAATGTGAGGGGGTCAGGGTTGGAGCCGATTGCTATTTTGACCAGTAGAACCACATCCACTCTAGAATGAAAGGTCTGCCTCAGCATAAAGGGATTGTTTACTCATCCTGAAATGCTCGTCCTGTATACATTTGTGGGCCTTCACAAGGCAACGACCTTCGCTGAAGGCTCAAGTTTGCAACTCCGTTTCTCAGTTTTTCGAATTCACTAACCAGGAAGGTCGTTCAGGACGTGGAGCGCTTTTTGAAAACGGTTTTTTGCATGATGTAGGGTCACGTGCATGGAGTACCAAAGTGACGTTCATTTTTCCTACGCGCATCTGGAAATACCAAAAAAGGAGTGAAAAAGAAATCTATGGAAACCGGTGGTTTTTGAGCCTCTGTGAGCTTAAAATGACTTGAAACTTCGGCCAGTTGCTGAGGGGGGTTGTGGAGGGTCCTTATAAAGGTACTATTGGAGTGGAAGAGGAAAATAGCCGCGAATGGGGTCTTACCTGAGGCACGTCATTGAGAATGAGCGGCTCTGAGCGGCTTGTCGGGCGGTTTCTTCAACGATCGTAGTGGTGTTTCGGCCACAACGATCGGATGGCCTAGTGGATAGCGTGGAGGATTCTCAATCGGACGGTGAGGGTAAGGGTTGATGGTTCGACTCCCCTCGGCGTGCGAGTTTTTGCATTTTTTATGTTTCGCTGTTTTCGCTTCTATAAATGTCTGCTTATGAATTTTACTCGGGTTCTACCATTTATGGGCACATTCTAAATAGTTATACCCCATAATTCGGTGCTATTGAACAATTCCGATTTTCACATACCATTAGGTGAGAGCTTCTCTCGAAGATGATCTTTATATGTTAATCAGTGCCCTGACCACGACTATGGCATGCTGAAGCTCCATTTATGGATTTTGGAGCCACTTTTTCTTTACTGAGCGCTAGTGAACTCGCTTGAGGGACTTTTAGGGTCATTCTGACGCCAGACTGCGTCGACGCGAAGAATAAGTGTCAGAATCGTAATCGGGATCATCGATTACCCCTATAGGCAAACTTTCGGCTAAAAAAATTTTTTTGACTTTCTTGAGTTGTGGTAGACCATTTGGTCGACAGTGATGACCGGAGTCTCACACCTTCGAAACTTCGATGACGTAACGATGACCGGGCAGCCGTATCGCGGATTTGGTGCTCATAAGGTCCATATACTTGGCATGGGCACGGGTGGCCGCAGAACAAGTGAAAACCATCCTGGACATGTCGACCCCCCGCGACGGCTCGCTCAACGAAAGATGTGTCGTCCTCCCCTACCAAGAGGAGAGACTCGTCCGATTTCTTCACTTTTTTCAAATGCACCTGGAGGAATGATGACTATTTTGTTCTTTTTTTCGATGGCGTTTATGGTTGTTGCTAGTTTTTTGTCTCCGTACCACTGAATGAGGGTTTCGATAACCAGCAAAAGTACGACTTCAACAAAGTGACTCTTGAGCATAACCCAATGCACAGACTCAAAAAAGTCAAAAAAATTTTTTGGCTGAAAGTTTGCCTATAGGGGTAATCGATGGTCCTGATCACGATTCTGACACTTATTCTTCGCGTCGACGCAGTTTGGCGTCAGAATGACCCTAAAAGTCCCTCAAGCGAGTTCACCTAGCGACTTCAGTAAAGAAAAGGCTCAAAAAATGGCGAGAAATGGAGCTTCAGGTGAAGTAATGCAATAGTCGTGTCAGGGCAGCTGATTTAGCATTATAACTCAACTTCGAGAGAAGCTCTCACCTAATGGTATGTGAAAATCGGAATTGTTCAATAGCACCGAATTATGGGGTATAACTATTTAGAATGTGCCCATAAATGGTAGAAACCCGAGTAAAATTCATAAGCAGACATTTATAGAAGCGAAAACAGCGAAACATAAAAAATGCAAAAACTCGCACGCCGAGGGGAGTCGAACCATCAACCCTTACCCTCACCGTCCGATTGAGAATCCTCCACGCTATCCACTAGGCCATCCGATCGTTGTGGCTAAAACACTACGATCGTTGAAGAAACCGCCCGACAGCGCTCAGAGCCGCTCATTCTCATGACCGTGGCCTCAGGTAAGACCCTTCCGCGCTATTTTCTCTTCGCAGCTCCAATAAGTACCTTTATAAGGACCCTCCACTCAGCAACTGGCCGAAGTTTCAAGTCATTTTAAGCTCACAGAGGCTCAAAAACCACCGGTTTCCATAGATTTCTTTTTCACTCCTTTTTTGGTATTTCCAGATGCGCGTAGGAAAAATGAACGTCACTTTGGTACTCCATGCACGTGACCTAATATACTAAGTAAACAGTTTTCAAAAAGCGCTCACGTTCCTGAACGACGCTTGGCCTGGTAGGCAGTTTTCTTAAGTATCTGACAGGTCTCTTCTCAACGAAAAGGAAAGCTTAGAAGCTCCGACGACGGTATTCCGGCCCCGCTCCGCTTGTGGGAGGAAGGGTAGGGGTTTCTTACGGTTTTATCGAAATGCCGGGCATTTTGGAAAGTCCTGTAGAGTCTTTAAAGCTGCAAAGCAAAAAAAAATACTTGCTTCTTGTGGGACCATAGTACAAGGGAAAGAGCAAAATAATCGAGGAATGTGAGGGGGTCAGGGTTGGAGCCGATTGCTATTTTGACCAGTAGAACCACATCCACTCTAGAATGAAAGGTCTGCCTCAGCATAAAGGGATTGATTTACTCATCCTGAAATGCTCGTCCTGTATACATTTGTGGGCCTTCACAAGGCTGTCCAGTCTGCTCAGAAGGGATTACCAAATGTCTCCTACCCTTCTGTATAGATTTGCGCCAAGTATCTTCATCCGGTAAATCTTACTTGTCGATTTTAGCGGGCTGGGGTACATCACGAAAAGGATAGATATAAAGAGGTTCTGAGAGATTAAATGACAGATGAAAACAGATGAAACGAAATCCATCTTCTAGCCCGGCACTTTCCATATGGCCTTTGAAAAGGCGTCCTTTCAAAAAGAGGTCAATGTGGACGTGATTCAGCCAGTCACTGTGGAGACAAGTGATGATGCAGTCTTTCCATTCAGCGATCACAAGTTATTTTTGGAAGAGTTGTTAGTCATTTCTGGGAAACACAGCCTATTTTTGGATGATTTACTAATCATATCTCGAAAAACACCTTTTTCGAATACATGACTTGGCTGTTCCAGGAACAGTTTGTGTCTTTCGTGGATCCATAGAGATTAGCACCTGGAATCAAAATTTCCCGGCCCGTGTAGCCCCTATTTCTTTCCAGTATAGCATTTATATCATCTGGCACTATGATGTGTGACGTGCGCACCAGCCAGCTTCTTAAGGCCATTCGTTCGATTTCTCTCGTTTCGCACTGAGCGCTTAGGAAATTGATAAGTTGATGACGAGAGATTCTCATGAAGTTTAAAGTGCTGTTGAAAATGCTGCCGTATTCGTAATATTATTTCTGGAAGGCGATAAGTTGAGTTGATAAGTGTAAAAGTGGGCGATAAGTTTGCAAGTACAGATGCGGCTGCCTTATAAATAGTTTATAGTAATCGTGCTGCAATTGCTAGTTAATGAATGAGTCATCGGTTGCGCAGAATGCAGATGCATTCATGCTAAGTTAATGTCTTTGGATATCTTTGAGTTTCTTTACTGTTCTTTTGTATTAATTTAGAATGCTTATTAATAATTAGTACAACTTGATGAAATGAGCTTGAAGGCGAGTTGCCCCTATTTACAACGTGTCGTTCCGTTCAATTCTCACGTTAATTCCTCTTGTAAGTATCACTATGTGCGCCTGTCTAGAATTCCGCGAATTCGCTTTCTAAAACCTGTTCGGTATAGCATTCGTTGTGGAAGGCATACTTCGCTGATCAACGCATGTTGAGATATTCCTATATGGTGCAAACACATGATCCATGTCTTCTTTAGCGATTTCTTCGCTCAGGACAACTACGAAATACTTCGCCAAGGTTGAAATGTGTATATTAGGTGGATATGCTGTAGGCAGATAGAGCAGTACTATTACGTCAGATGTCGTTTTGGTCCGCTCAGTTATGACTAAATCACAAGAATGCTGAGTTATGGGCAGTAGACCCCATACGAGGCTGGAACCAGCATCCCCTGCTTACCGGGCGGTTACGTTATCCATCACGCTACCGGGTCGTCAGATCTACTATATTTCAAGTGTCGGAAATAGTAGTGCGTCCCTGGACTGACCAAATACGACCCCCTCCCTCGCGGTCAAATACGACCCCCCCCTTGTGATGATCACAACGATGGCGTACCCTGCTCCCAGCTCAATGGCTTTTTTGTGCCGTAGCCTTAGAGCACTCACACGTTCAACGTGATGAGCCGGTTAGCCGATATCGGCAGTGAACCGCGAGGCGGTGTGTGCTGTAAGGCTATGGCACAAAAGACCACTGAGCTGAGAGGGTGAGCGACTCCGGTAGCATAATGGGTTCCGCTACCGCCCGATAAGCGAAAGATGCGGGTTCGAGTCCCGTCCAATATCTGACTCTGCCCATGGCGATTCTCGTGATAGCTTTCGAAGCGCGGACTGAGGGGTGGAAGAATAGTAATCATACCAGAAGAATGTAACAAAGTCGCTCCATATTTATGATAGTATGTCGCGTAGAGAGGGATTCTCTCAAGAAACGCTTTTTGACAGTACTCTAAGAGATCACCTCGGATGAGTTCTTTTGCGATCATCCTTTATTCTGGAATATAAGCCGCAGTTATACCTCTCGGATCTGCTCTTACCCAGGCCAGTCTAACCTTCCACACTCCTGCGACGGTGAATTGGTGCCAGATTCGTCGGGGAGGATAAGAACACTGACTTGCACGGGAGTTGATCCCCGTAAGTTACTGTATAGGCCTTAATCGCCTTTGATGAGCCACGACGATTTTGAACGCAAGAAGAATGCGTGACGCCTCCTGAAAAGGATTGATCAACTTGAAGCTTTTATCTTTTTATCCGTTGAAGCTGCAATTATTTATTGCTTGGTCGCTAGGTGAAGCTAAAACCAGATCAAATTGATTAAAAACCAAAACGGCCTAAAAATCGGGCAGAAATAAAGACGAGGAGAACGTTTTTTGCTCTTGCTAAGCACGCGCACTGTCCCGAGCGAAAAGGCTGCTTGACGTCGCAAAGTAGGGTAACCTTAAAACACAGATTCGTCCTAGTGTTAAATCAAGTGTCTTCGAATCGGCCGTTGTCACATAGCCGCGTAACCCTATTTTGGAGAAAAAATTTATATTGATTACTCTGAGCCCTTCTCAGACTTGTTAAGTTCTTTTACCGTTTTCAGTGCGTCCGGAACAGTGTACGTAGCGAATCGGAATGATACTAACGACGTTGTTGCTGTTAAACGAATGGCGTTCAAGACACAGCCCAAGAAGGAAATGTTACTAACAGAAATCAAAGTGATGAAACAGTTCCGACATCCAGTAAGTTTTAACCCCATTAAAAAGAAACATTTGGGCAGTTCGGCGACGAGAAGGGGGAGGGAGGAATTTTGCCTCTTCGCTACTTCCCATCGACGTGCCGAGCCATCGCTTGCTCAAGCTCCACAGTAGTTTGCAGGTTTTTTCAGAGGGAGACTTGTAAATCGGAATCGGTGAAGCAGGCGAAAGTGCAATGCCCCCCCCCCCCGGTCGCCGAACTGCGCCGAAATGTTATCTTAGTGAGAATACTTGCATATCTTTCTATAGAATGTTGTCAACTACATCGAATCGTATCTCGTGGACGCTGATGATTTGTGGGTGGTGATGGACTACTTGGAAGGTGGCAATCTTACTGATGTCGTTGTAAAGACGGAACTTGATGAGGGACAGATTGCAGCCGTTCTGAAAGAATGTGTCAAAGCGCTTCACTTTTTGCACAGGTCAGCCTTTTTTCCGGCAGCGCTAGGTTTAGTGCAGGATTTTGTCCGGTGGAATCGTGATTTATGAAGAAATGTCTGAAATTCGCGCTCTCTTTCTCTCTGATGAATAGTACATGAAGCGTTTCCTTGTCACAGCGCCACTCTGACGTTTTTTTTCGATGTGGCTGAGCGTCTGACGCTCATGAGAGGGATTTCCTATGCAGGCGCTCACTGTTCTGTCTTTCTGTTCACTCATCGGGACCCTTCCTTGTTCTAGAAAAATCGAATAAAGTGGAATATTTCCGGTTCGAAAACATTTAAAATGAAGATTTTCATTGATCATAAGTGCAAATCCCATTCTTTTTAGATGAGCAATTGATTGGTTTCACTTTCAGACCTGTGGAACGTATTTGTCAAAATAAAAACAAATGCGAAAATTTGATCAATCATGATTGCAGCCATTCCATTGTGCATCGCGACATCAAGAGCGACAATGTGTTACTCGGAATGGATGGACAAGTAAAACTTACCGACATGGGTTTCTGTGCTCAAATTCAACCGGGCTCAAAAAGGTGATTCTAGCTGTTATTCACTGCACTGGGCAACCCTCATCACGTCTAAAAGCCCTGATTGAGCTATCTGTCTATGAATCCCTGATTTGTTTATCTTTCCCTCTGTTTGTCGTCATGAATTGCCTTTCCTAGAGAACGTGGGTCAGATTGGGGATAGGTCTGTTGGGACTCACATTGTAGTGTGAGCTGAGGAACGAGGCTCCCGTCGGTGAGAGTGATATGGGATCTAGGAGACTCACAGTAGCACAGAAGCCCGGAATATCTGCTCTGGGGTAGCACGAAGGCCCTGAAAGTTGGGAGGATGAGTCACAGCTTATGTTGGGGGAAGCAGCCCCTAACGGTAAAACGGAGTGACCTCGAGTACATTAGAAGTGGTTGCTTATGAATTGGTACTTGTTCTGAAACGAAAGGATTAAATCGGTGGAAAGAGCGATGTGTAAGGAGGGGTGTGCATACCTGCCTACATAAGGCGGAGGGAGCATGCTCACGGGCGGGTGATCTACTTTTCAGTGAACCAGCCCACTATTCAAATGGATAGGGTTTCCAATTCGAATAGCATTGAAACCGGGACAGACTTGGGTGCAGGGCACATCGTTGTTGGGAATCCCAACAGGGGGGGGGTCGTATTTGGCCGCCAGGAGAGGGGGTCGTATTTGGGCTGGGGAAATTCCATTTTGATAGTTGATTTTTCTCGCTTCACGTTCCAGGAGTGGTGCTTGACTTTTCGTGATTTTTCTGTTCCAAGTGTTCTATATACA